TGTTAACTCAGTGTGACAGGTGCCTGGAAGACTGCATGGGGGCTCATGGCTGGGTTGCTAGGATTGCCAGCCATTGGGGCATTATACTGTCTAGGGGCCGGCTGGTCACAGTGGAGGCCCCAGGATATTCCAGGCACCCATCTTCCATACAGCACGATGCAGTTGTTAACAGGAGGTTTAACTGTACCTCTAAATATGCTGATATTCTTGTACCTACCTTTGATGGTTTTATAGAGTTTGAGGTGCTGATAATAGTGTTTGGGATGCCTTTGCTTACTAAATGACTAGAAGCTCCCTCTGAGTAGAATGGCAATGAACTTTGGTGTCCTGTCCTCGACTGTGACAGATCTGGCCCAGACGTAGCAAAAGCTGGTCTTGTATGAAGTGATCTTGATTGTCTAGGCGTTGATGTGGAAAGCGTCAATATTCCAGTAGATGCGGATCTTGATGTTCTGGTGCTTATGGCAAAAACTAAGAATGATGATGGTGATGATGAGGGGGATGGTGATGTGGAAGGTGATGGTATGGGGGATGAAGGCAATGGTTCTGACATTGACAATTGCGGTGACGACAGTAATGGTGATGAGTGTGTTATTGATGGGATGGAGGTTGTAACAGCTAGGTAGCTAGATTGTGTTAAAGAACTTGCACTTCTACTTGAACCAGACAAATCTGAAACAGACAAGACAGTTCTTAAGCTCTTAATTGTTATGATTAAATACAGCAAATTAGTGTTCATCTAGGGTTACTACAAGCTCTCAACCTTGAACAACTCACTAAGTATCAGCCTCTATGCAAATTGTAACTACAGTTAAACCCAGCTATTTCCAACTCTCAGGAGAAATGAAAAATAGTTCAAAATAGCAAGAGTTTGAAATAGCTGATAGCAAATAACTGAAGGGCAAATCCAAGGGAAATGGTTTTGAGTTCAAAATAACTGGGAATTCGAAATAAGCGAGTTTGAATTAGCGGTATCCAACTGTATTACAGTGTGACCACTTGAACCAGGCCACTTGGAGCAAAGTTAACCAATCAGAGCATTAATTGAGAACAAAGGAGGGCTACTTTTTTCGTTGATGGGCAAATGAAACTCAAGAATGCAAACAATGGTTTAACAACAAAAATTTGAAACCCAACAAAGTTGCATGCATAGGGTTGTGGACCTCTCAGGAAACTAATGGTCACTTTTTGATTGGTCCATTTTGATCCTAGTTTTTGGCAGCATGAAACAGTCTGAATGTGGCCGTCACAAAAAGAAAAAGTTTGAAAAGACTTCTTCGCCATTTATACAGTCATATAGAAAAGACGGTACCTTAGAGTCAGAGTGAAACAGAACTTTTATTTGTTTTCATTTTTACAACTCACTGTCTGTCACACTGTATAACAGAACTACATGTAAACAGAAATGATAAAGTATAAGTATTACTAAGACCAAAAACTTATAAGAAATTCCAAACTAAACACAATGGAAATTGCCTTCTAAAAGTAACTTGACAGTGAACACAACATTTTTCTCTTATGACTGAACTTCGTACAAAACAATAAACTTATCCACAAGCAAAAGCACACAAACTCAGTTTGAGAAATTTGTGGGTTTGAAATGTTCAATTACGTGAGGAAGGTCCCAGTCCCTCGATTCATTTAGTGAGATTTTGTTTCCCACTGCTTTCTTTAGAATTAACAGATCCTTATCCAGGGCTGATCTCTCAATATATTTTATTTGCTTTTGTTTACGAAGCTGCGGCCTCATGACTGCAAAAAAACTAGAAGCTGCTTTCTGCCTTGCGCTACTGAAAATGTCTAAATTGTCTTTGGCCTTCACTTCTTTCTTTTCCAATTCCTTGATTAGAGTTTTTAGTTCTTGCAGTTCTTTATTGACTTCTGGATGCTTAATTGGCAGGTAACTTGCAGGAATGGATGCCGAGATACAATCCTTTCTTACATGTCTGCTTTGGGTGACCTGGTAAATCTTTTTTTTTGGTGTGCTTTTCTGCAATCATTTCGCATTCTTCAATCTCCTTTTTGCGAACGGCCAGCTGTTTTGCACTATCTAACTGTACCTGCATCATTTAAGGATCCCAGGTAGGCTGAAACTGCCTTTTATTTAGATAACTTAATGAGCTTGTCAGTTGACTTGGTTCAGGTTTCAAGCCACCATTTAGGGGTGTTTGAAAGTGTTGTGTTGCAGGCAGTAAATTTGCACTTAAAGATGCAACCAGTTCTGGTAGCAAGCTTGTCAATATATATATGTTATTTGCTGGCTGGGAGGTCTGTATGGTGAAAAACTGTGACTGAGGTCTTGAAAATGCTGCCCTAGGCCTGCGGCCTCGGGCAGCATTTTCAAGCCTGAGGTCACAGTTTTTCACTATACGGACCGACCCTAAGCCGGCAAATAACATGTTTATTTTTTTCTCCTGCAGTAAATTGGTTTTACAGATTACAAATGGATTAGCTTACGCAACTCTTGTCACTGAATCAGCTTCCACGCGGTCTACTAACGATTTGTAAAAAATCTCGGCAACGAGCAAGTAACTCAGATAGTAGACAAAGAAAGATGTATTAAAGAACAGATTTTTTTTCGAACTACTTTAT